TATGGAGAATTAAAATTAAATTGAAAATTTTCATTTTAGATGTGAGTGTGATGGTATTTGTGATTGGAGGGGGTACATGTGATTGAGAATTGAGATGTGTTGACCTTTGACTATAGCTTATTTTGCATCATATAAACTATTATACTATCAAAAACTAAAGATACTAATTGTAACATCAACACTATCAAACTACGTGTTTTTGGTATGTTCAACCCGGTACGGGTACAACCACGATCTATGTGAAAAATAAACTGCATACAGCTTGTCCTGTTGTTCATGTTATCTTGTATATAAAAGGCAAATAGCCTACTACTCTCTGACATATACTTAATACTTTAATCCTTTTCAATGAAACGGCGACCATACAAAGTAGGTATTTTTATGCCAAGTATGAATGGAGATGAGTGTAGGATGAGTGGTGCGATCACTATATCTCAAAATATACTACCTAGAATTATCAAATTTGTTATAGGGGGTCCCTATATGGTGCGGATGTGTAATAAGACGGGGTTTTACGAAATTAAAAATTTAAGGAGGTTTAGGGGAGGTTAAAGCGATGTCTGGTAAAAATCTACTATGTAAGCATTTATATCTTGGTCAGTAAAAGTAATGCTATTACTACCAAAATACGTAACAAATAAAACCCATAACCTCATAAAACATTGAAAATTTTCTATTCTAAAGCCTTTTAGCGAATTTCCCCATAGGGAAGTAGCTATTATTAATATTTTACTAAAAACCACACTATTCCTTGGGGCAGCAAACATAGATACTTGTTAAACCTAATGTTATTTAAATAGATTTAATTGAAAATCAATTCAGACAAATGGAAATTCCCTTAGTCGGCAGGTTTGCTGCGGTGGTGGTATTTGTCATTACAGTTATGAACGAATTATGGCAAACCTGCGTACTCATCCAAATCCCTGAATTTTGTTATCATCTGTAATAAAATCATAACAGCTGATCTGGTTTTGTTTACATTTTTTCTCATGTCAAAACAAACTATTACATTTATTAATCTTTCCTATAATGTGTTGCGTCCTTTTGCTACGGTTTCCTAAAAAAACTTCTAAAAATGTGCTCCAGCTTGACGTGAATAACTTCCCAGAACAGCCTGATATGAAGGTAAAATAATCAAAATTAATGCTGTATCGGTAGCCCTGTAAAAGTAGTTCCGTAGCGAAGTTACAACTTCAGCGGGTTCGTAGAATTAATGAATTAAAATAACAACCAAAGTGTGTTTGTCGAAGCCGACGGGCAACAGCTAGTAGAGTATATAGATAGTCTTCTTCAATATCAAAAGGTAAATTATGTGAGCCAACTTTTATTTAATGATGACCTAGCCAATATAACTTGTATATTGTTAATTCTGACTCAATAAACGATTTGATTTGATTTTATTCCGACATTTCCAAGTTCGTAAACCCAAAATTTCTTCAAGATGTAAATATTTCTTGTTTTTACGAGAGCCACTACATGGATAGTTAGAATACAACGTGCCCAACTGTACACATATGCTGCCCACGGTTTACGAGTGCACTGGCTAGAGGTTTACGGCATTTAAACCGCACCAACGCTTAAAATTAACTCGATTACAGAGCACTACTGGTCAAAGTGCTCCCCCGAGCTGCTATGTACCAGTACAGCAAGTACAGCTCAGTACAGCAAGTACAGCCAGTACAGCAGTACAGCCATGTGGGATCGCGGCGGCCATAAAACTGTTATAGGCAGTAGCGCCATATGTTCAAGGCCGTCTTAACTGTTATTAAATTAATTGCATCTAAGTTTATGACGTTCGATAAGGTAGGCGCGTTGAAAATGCGACTTAGAGGCTAGGCGATATGCTTGCGTTGAACGCTGAAAGAATTCTGATATTCTATGAGAATTCCTTTCGCATTTGTAAATATATTTTAAATGTTATAGCAATAAAAAATTGAAACATTCTTCTCTTATACAGTGGAGCATGATAGCAAGAACCTCGATAACAAGTTGCCCTTGATAGCCATTCATGTTTAAACTCCCTAGAATTTATTTTACCCTCTGCTAATTACATGTCATTGCAAACTTCGAAAGAAGTTAACCTTGATAACAAGTCTTATTTGATAATCCCCATGAGAGTCTTGTTATCAAGGTTCTATTGTATGTGGTTATAAGTATTATAAGATAATTATGGGACTGCACCAGCTGAGAGCTAACTCAACAGTTCTATTGCATTATCAATATTATTTTAAATAAGTAATTTTACTCCTTAACCCAACATATAACCTCGTTCCCATATCCCGATCATGCTGGTTTACGAACTCAAATAAAATAAAAGTGTGTTTACTCGTTTGTACCAAATTTAAATATAATTGTATGTTTTTCATTCGAGTTATCTTGCTAACATTAACGAACATAATAACATCGCACTTTAACTTTAATAGATGGTGTTTTGGATTCTTGTGACGTCAAAACGACTACCTAATATGGTCCTTGGTCTAATATTATTATTTATAATATCTACGATATTATCATATATTAGAGCAACTGCTTCCTTTTTCAAAATATTGAATCAAATTATTTGAAAAAGTACTGAACTACAAAAAGCATTTAAAATTTGATATAACATCTAGTGTAATACTTAATTAGGCTAGTGTAGTATTTAGAAAATGTTCCAATTCAAGTATTCTCGAATGTTTGAATATGTCACTATTAATTCGTATATCTGTAGAAATAGTTTCATAATTAACAAATAAAGAGCTAAACAATTGGATAAATGCCCAAGCTGCACGACTCGTGGTGTGTTCTGAGATTGATTGATATTCAAAACACTAAGATGGTTCCAAAAACACGGCACAATCGTGAGGAGTTGGGCGCTACACAACAATCGTGAAGCGTGACAAATTCGTACCAATCCGGCATTATAAATATCAAGCATATCAAATCTTCATTATTCATAACCGTATTTAGAGGAATACGTTGATCAAAATAAAATTTCGTTAGTTAAAATATAATACAAGTTACAAAAGAAGTATAACATTAAATTTGTCCCCATTGTATTAATAAAAAAAACAATAATTTATTTGTAACATCTTAAATTTGAGTATAAAGTAGAATTTTACAAAAGACATTATTTTAGGACTTGTTTTGAAGATTTGGTATTCCTCTTCATAAAGTATATTCTTATGTAGGTTATTAATAAATAATGTGCCAATGTTATGAAATGTAGTTCGAATGCTACGATTTCCAACCCTACGGGGTGCGAGCTGGTGTAGTGGTTAGAGCACGGGGCTTCGGTCCCTAGGGTCCCGCTTTCAAAACTCACCAATTCACCAATGGGTTTTATCCAAGTGAAAATGGCGCAACCCCTAGGTCCAGCCTAATGCGAAAAACAATCCCGGGCTCGTGCCTAGCGTCTACGATTTGATGTGAATTTTGATCTTAATACTGTTAATTTGTTTTTTGTACAAGCAAAACAGCTTTATAAATATAGCCTTGTGCGAGTTAATTCAAAGAACATATATAGTTTGTAGAGCGTTAATAATACACACACAAGACATTTTTCACAAAGTGCACGGACCAATTGAATTTTATTCACTACATGATCAATATGTTTATTTAAAATGAAATTACCATCCTAAATTATTCCAAGGCTTCTTTATTATTCATGTGTTGGGATTTACTTCGAATTAGAGTAATCTAGATGAATATATGTTTGTAATTTTCTCTTACTTCTGGTCGCACTTATCCTGCTTGGTATCTGGCTTGGTATTGAATGGTTACGTATTTAGTGTATTCAAATTAATTTTCACACATTTGTACAGTATTAAATTAATTTACTATAATTAATTAATTAATTGAGAGATTTTTTTCCAAAGACACCTCTGTAACTATGTTATTAATATCGGCATACAAGCAAACAAAACTTGCATTTATAGCTCTTGAGAACCCCCTTAAAAAGCAATTAAAAACGGAGGGCCCAAGATAGATCCCTGAGGAATACCGTAGTTGTAGTTTTTGACATCTGAATAAAAGGTTTGAGGATAGGTTAAGTATCTGAATAAAAGGTTTGAGGATAGGTTAAGTGTGACTATGTGAGTAGTAATCAAGTATGTTAAATTTGGACAAATTGTTGTCGGCTAATACAAGAAGTGAGCCACTTATACTTTTTGATTGTATTTAACCTAGAAAGAATATAAAGGAGCTCATCATGAGTCACGTTGTCTAATGGATGAAAAGTAAATGATGTTCGCAAGCAGTTTTGTATTTTTGTTATTTGAATTAATAACTGATTCAATAGGATTTATACCCGCCGTAATCATAGATTAACCAGCACAAAAATCATGACATTGAAAATCAAACATTGGATTGAATTCTAAATCGCGTAAATGCTGATTAATTCAAGTTTTTCCAAAATCTTTTAGGACACAGGTAAAAATTACTGGTCTATAACTTGTCGGTTATCATGCACCTCTCTTTTAATTTACTGAAATAACTGTATTATCATCTTTTGGAAAACTTAATATACATTTCATCCACATATATAGCAAAATTCCCGTAATTTTAATTGAAATCGCAACGGTGGTTGGTAACGCTAACCCACATATGATTTTGCTATATATACTCATATATATTTTCAATTTAAATAATCTGTTACTAATATGAATGTTGCACGATTTTTTCTACTGGGCACACTTTCAATCTTCCTTATAACCCATATTTCCCCCGAAACCACCTCCTCGGATCTATGGTTCTCCAAGTCACACATCGGGGTTCCTAAAGGATACATCATGGGCCATACAACTTTTTCTCCCTACACCCGTGTAGACATTCTGTACTCTAACCCCGCCGTCTGCACGGTTTATCGTCCATGTCCCGGCGTCGTTGGTTATTATCATAGAAGATGCTTGGAGTAATGTCCAGCGATTTTATTATCAGCCGAGCACTAGCGCTCCTAGCGGCGCGCTCGCGAAGTCCCCCTACCTGGCCGGTCTACCTTAGTATAGCCGCGACCGCCGGCCTTCGCCAAGGAGTGAGACTGTGCTCCGTCGTCATGCTTTTCATTTCATTTATTTATTTTCTGTGAGTTGTGTGCGAGTTTAAAAGACTAGTGGTATTTAATATGTACGGCGAAAATGATGCGAATCGCCGATTTTATTGAATCTCGATTCGAACACGTTGTGATACACTGTGATATACATAGATGATTGGAAAATGGTAAAGTTAAAAACAGTGCGATAAGGACTACGCTGGACTATTTTATTTTATCGAGATCTCATAACGATATTTGAGGGATAAGTGCGAAACTGAACTTAGTGATAACGAAACTGATAAGGATGGAGACTGAAGCTGAGGATCAGGGAGATCATATGCAGAACCATTATAACTCTTACACGTGAGTTATAGATAAATACAAATCTATACGATATAATACAATATGTTTATCCATAACTTGTATTCATGTATTAAGTGTGCATGCTCCAACATATTGCAGTGTATTTTTAGGCGAGTCTCTTAATAATTACGGTAAATCAACAACTCAAAGTTTACAATATGGATTCTAAAAACCTATTTATGCAGTGTTTCACTTTTGCAGTACGTTTAATTCCAAACTAAATCAAAAATATGTAACGTGTAAGGAGAACACGACGCACATACACTTGATCATATAATAATTGACCGACCTAGTCGGAGAATGCGAATGTTATTTTCACGAACGTACAGATTTGGATTCAAATAAGTTCAATTTAGAAAACATGTCCGGTTTTAAAAATAATTTTGATTGGAAAGAACCGAAAGTTATAGTACGCAAAAAACTACAAGTTAACTTTTATCCACACTGATTTCATTAATAAATAAACAAATATATTATCTCACATGAAAATGTCATATTATTCCCATAATTTAATAAAACACTCGTACCCTACAATTATTAATAAATCCTTTATCATACTTACGTGGCATAACCCAGTCTTATGCGCCTACGATTTTATAAGAAATCTTTTCATTATTGGTTGTATTCAGATTCACTTTTGTTAGTTACGGATGTCATATATACACTTTTATTCAATAAATAGTTTGATCTAAATAGTTTGTGATCGTGGGGATTCCGTTTACCAACACATATTTACCATACTTGTTTGACATTTTAGATAAATACATTTTAAACAATATTCCTCACATGGGAAAAGTTTATATATTCAAGATTATGGGTATATATTTTTTAATGCATTAATGATAGGTTATTTACTAACAAGTACTTATATTGGCATTTAAATTGTTTAATTTGGATCCAAGATTAATATAAACTAATCGCCCTTGAATTAATGTTGATATACGTAAAAAATATCCCTAAAACCCCTATTAACAACCACTAAATTAATGATTATTTTGTCTTCTCCAATTTAAACTGTTTAACAAAATTATCTAATATTTTACTTACCGTCATGTTTTTGGATATTTGTGTTTTACAACTTAATTTAATTCATAGGTTTCATTTTTTTCTAGAGGAAAGTGTAAATTCTAAATATTAATCTGTATGACCGACTAATTTGAACAAAGTTTTTCGCGTTATAGGCTACCTAAATCTATACTACAGTATAGTAGCCCTGTGGATAAGCGTAGCGCTGACCGGCGCGGCGCGGTGGCGGGCCGTTAAAACGCCGTAACTTTGTTGTAAAATTTGTTTTACAGCTATAAATCTAATAACACTCGACATAAGGTATTGCAATTTTGTTTTATAAGACCTATTACGAAATGTTGCTTAGGAATTTTATATGTTTAAACTTGGATTGTTCTAAAATCCGTTTAAGAAATGTAGGTTTTAGGTATTTAATCAATCGTATTTCAATTCTTTTTCATAGGCTAGTTTTCTATTTAAATATTCGAAATAAAATATAGAGTTTTACACAAGGGAAATGCCATAGATAAATGTTCTAATTATGAATGGAATAACAGACTTACTGTATTGTCCGTTTCTATCTCACAACAAATGTAGGTTTTAAAAGATTGCAATAGTTTTGTGTGTTTAAGATATTAAAGACAAGCACAATAAACTACAATTAGTTCAGTATTATTCTTTCCTGCCTATTTAAAGCTTTACATGTCAGAATTCGCTTATAGCATTGAACATATGTTTTAGCAGTTCCATTTAACCAATCTATAATATTAAAACGAAACAATATTTTAACTTATACTAAAATCGACTTATTTATGCAATCACATTGAACAACCTTTGTAGAGGCTTATACTTAACTACAACACAGTTTTTGGTGGGTTAATATTCAAATAAGTTTTCAAATTTGACCGTTAGCTATTTCCATGAACCTAAAGTAACAACTAAGTCTTTTCTTAATTTCATTAGTAGCTAACCCTATCAATAAAATTCAATGAACAACTATTTCTTATTCCTAACTGTATACCTAATTTTCAGGTTTTAAGTTCATTATCAATAATTATAATTAATAAAATAGTGCGTCGTCTTACTATTAGTGCATGTGGTTTTCTGAAGTGTTACGTATGTTTTTTGGTTTACCACTTTTAATTTTGGATGCATTTTTTATTAATAGATTTTTACTAGTGTTTAAATTTATTAGAGTCATACTTCGGCTAAAACGGCTGTTTTAGCAAATACTTATAATGTAAATCCGTTAGAACTATAACTTGAGCAATAATCGCCCTATTTTGGTGAAATTTGGTACAAACGTGTTGACTTACTGTTAATCGAACGAGTTCGTGGACCAGCAAGATCGGACTGTAAAAACGGGGTTTTATAGGTTAAAAATTTGTTTTCCCCATTTTTAACCCTCAAAACATAAAACTTTGCAATTTTGTTCCCAACCATGATTAGAGCTTAAATCAAACATTTTGGCGTAAGCGTGGTTGTACGCCTGGTTATGGAGAAAATTCCAAATAACTGTAAATTGAAAATAATGTTTATGTTATTTTTATGAAGGTTAGGTAAATTATTGTAGTTCGCTTTTAAATAGATATATTTTTATCAAATCTTGTTAATTTATTTATTTTAAACTTAGCTATCAACGTTTCAATATATTACACTCTTAATCACTTTCCCTGTAGCAGTCACCATAAGAACGCATTTCACAATGTTATTTAAATATATCTGACATGCTTAGGAAAATATGTAAGTAAAATCCATGAGATAAAAAAACTGGGTATCTGCAGAAGGTATCTGTGGAGTAGTATCTGGGGAGTAGTAGCATAGATTAAAAAGGTTTAATGTATGGTAGTAGGTAGCTGTACATTTCCCCTTCGTAAACTGATGGAAACTTAGAAACATAAAATTATCGTTATTTTACTGCTAAATGAATATTTATGTAAAATATTTAGTTAATTTGACCATGTAAATATATTTTGGTAATTTGAAAATTTGTGTTAATGGATCGGTGAAGTAAAGCATCTAACATGTAAAATCTATATATTTAATACACAGTTGTAACACTGTTTTCTCAGTAATTACTGGACCGATCCACAAGTTCTATGTGTCAAATTAAAGGGGATAATGCATAGATTTGCCGAACTTCATTAGAATTCACGTTTTTTCTAAGGGTTAAGACCTACAGCCCTTCAAAGGTTGAGTCAATACAATTCTTATTGAAGAGTATAATACACAGTTTATAAATTATTCGTCAGCTGTTTAATGTTTGCCAGACATTTGTTATTATTTTTATAACCTCATATTCAGTATGTAATAATTATAATCTAGGAATTCCTGTAAAAAAAATACGATTTGGAACAAAGAAAATTGTATTTGTCAACTTTTTATACCACAATGTATTATTTATAAATGTATTTGAACATTATTTGTAGCCTATGTTTTGGTGCAAATTTTGTATTTTCGAATTAAGTGTTAGTTTTCTGAAGGAAAGTGGTAATTGAGTTTAAATTTGAGCATGGAATGTGAAAGAATACACATACGACGGAAACTTCCGCTTGCAAGTTGTAGCCAAAAGAAAATTGCTAATGAGTGGGAAAAATACAAACATTTTACTATAGGGATGAATCTTATTCAAGGTCAGTGTTTGATGTTCTTCTTGAGATGGCGAGTACTATGGATATGCGGAACTACAATTTATCAGTGAACTATACCCTATAACTATTTTTTCAAGTATACAAGGAAGTTGCTTGAGAAACTGTGCCTTACGATTTTGGTTCTGGCGAAGAAGTGTGTGACTTGATGTTTAATCTCAATGTTGACTCATTACATCGTTATAAAACTTTATCATAACTCCCAGGGTGTGAAAAAAGTACAAAAAAGAAAAGGTGAACAGTCATTAACTGTGCGTAAAGAGACAACCATTACGAACAAAACAGGTAGAAAGCCATCGAATAAAAAAAGTAAAAAGCAGTGATGGTGTTAAATGGGCTCTGGAAGTTCTTACAAAAAACCATTAACTTTTTGAATTGGGGTTGTTAAATTGGATTTTTCACTACTGAAAATCTATGAATTTATGGGCAGAACAGACTAACAGGGACACAAATATATTCTCCTTATATTGTCACAAGGGGAAGGTAAAATTAGCTCCTTATCAACATTCTGAGTTCAACAAAAATCTTATCAACGGGGCTACATCAAATATGAGTAAAGTATCAAAAGAAACAAAAAAAAACTTTCAAAAAACTATTTGATTAATAAAAGATCATATGCCTACAACTCTGCATTTGCAATGGTAAGTTTATAAGTCTCACTTAGATGAATCAATATCATTCTGGAAGTCTATATGATTTTGAGATCTGGGACTCCTTTTACCACCACGGATTTGACCGTTAATACACTTTAAAATTGAACCAAAGTATGTTATGAACCAACTTTATGTATACGACGTAAACACAGCTGTTGCTCACAGAATGGGTCTAAGATCCGGGAAATGCGACCGACTGCTGATGCGTGATTTAAGAGATTATTTTTATTCCACACAACGAATGTATCGAACAAAAAAAAAACAACGAATGTGGGAATATACATGAACAAATTATCTCCATAGCATAAGTAGCTTATTAGGTTATCAGCATTGCGCAGTTCATACTCTATTTATTTTTCAAACGAAACTGGAATTAATATAAAACACTTATTTGGTTAAACTAATATATCGGTTAGATTAACATAAATAGTTTATACAGGCCAACTATCAGGTCTATGCCATGTAAAAAATCAAGCAGTTGCTAAATAAAACACAAAGATAAACGGTATTTGTTAATTATTATGTCTTTTATTGCTGACAATATTCCCGTGGCGGAGCACGGGCGGTTAACTAGTAATAATGAATGACCAAATAGTTCATTATAGACACAATATATATAACATCCATAACAGCTTTAAGGTAACTTTCAAAGCGAAAATATAGGCAAATGCAAAATTCATTGTCGTTTACAATA